CATTGTTGTGCTATTGCGCGGCCCTCAGCACCATCCGTCTCCAAAACTTTTTTTATCTTGCCTGAAGCTGCAACTCTGCACCCAGTAAGGACCACCTCCCCACCTTCCCCCACCCCGCCCCAGCCCCTGGCAACCACCGTCCTACTTTCTGTCTCTATGGACACGGCCACTTCCAGGCACCCCCCATCATGGAAGCATGCAGTGTTTGTCCATTCGTTTCTGACTTATTTCATTCAGCAAAATGTCCTCAAGCCTCATCCATGTTATAGCATGTCACAGTTCCTTTCCTTTTAAGGATGCATAATAGCCACCGTGTGTCTACATGTTTTTGCATGTTCCTTTCATAATAATATAATAACAATATGATACACATACGTATTTACATACCACATTTAGTTCATCCATCTGTTGATGGACACCTGGGTCGTTTCCGCATTTTGGCTCTGAGTCCTGCTTTCCATCCGCTGTGTGAACTTTGATGAGAAGCACATCTGTTGTTCAGGATGGGCCTAGAGTTTTATTTTGTATTTTTATCACTTACGTATTTCTAATTAGCCCCACGCAGGCATAAGTGAAGTCAAATCAGTTCACCCAGAAAACAATGTGGAGGGTTCTCAAAACAGAACTACCATATGATCCCACAATCCCACTTCTGGGTCTATACCGAGAGAAAAGTCACAATGCCCTCCTGTGTTCACTGCAGCATTATTCACAATAGCCAAGATAACCTGTGTCCATCAACGGATGGGTGGCTAAAGAAGATGTAAGGTACACGCATGGAGATCTGAGGGATATCCTGCCATCTGTGATAACACGGATGGACCTCGAGGGCATTGTGCTGAGTGAAATAAGCTAGACAGAGAAAGAGAAATACTGCGTGGTATCCCTTATGTGTGGAATCTTAAAAAAAAAAAAAAAAGGTCAAACTCATAGAAACAGAAGGGAAAAGAGAGGTTTGCCAGGGTGCAGACTTTCAGTGATAACATGAATGAGGTCTAAGGATCTCAAATAAAACCTGGGAACCACAGTTGGTAACACTGTGTTGTATAAGTGAAATTTGCTAAGAACTTAAGTGTTCTAACCCCAAAAAAGGTGAGCATGTGAGGTGATCGATATGTTAATTACCTGGATGGGAAGAATCCTTTCATGGTGGATACATATATCAAATCACCTGGATGCACGCTTCAAATATCTTTCCATTTTTTGTCGGTTTTACCTGGATAAGGCCGAGATCGTTAGAAAGTAGTTGATCCAAGGCACGGGGACTGAGCGTCTCCTTTGTTTGCAATCGTCAACTTTCAGACTCGGACGAGGTCTGAAAGCATGCAGACAGCCTTGGGGTTCCTGCACAGTATCCTTGGGCCCGGGGCCCTCCCACTGGTCCCCACTGGTGGAAGAGGCACTGCTGTGTGAAGGACACATGACTCATCCCTGGAGAAGTTCAACTCCTAGGAAGCCAGTTCGCACTTAAATTTCATTCATGATGCTTTCAGCCATCATAGCTGGTTGGGTCCTTCCATAACAAAATGGAAGGCCACTCTTCCTCCTGATGAAGCTAGCTTCCCAATACTAGAAGGCAGATACTCTGTCCCTATTCGAGTTTCTCTTCTGTGCCATGAAAGCCTGGATTACTTTGAAGAAGGGGATTCTTCAAGACAGTTTGCATAGTCCTTTCTCCCCCACCACCTTGTCTGGATGTTCCACGGTTAGGCAGGGCCCATCCTAAGATACACTGTTGGTACATTGCCCAAAAATGCGCTAAACAGCTCAGACGGGGAAGAGCAAACTGTTACTTCTTCTCTGTCTCTTCCCCCCGTGGAGGCAGTTTAATATAACAGTGGCTGTAGCTACTGCAGAAATATTGGCAGGATGAAACAGAAGTGCTTTGCAAATGCAGTCCTTCTGGCGTGAGGACCACACAGGGAAAGTAACTGAGATACAGATACCGGATCCAGCCTCATTGGTTCTAGTTCAACAGAACTGGGGTAGGGCCCACTTTAACTTATTTTTTTTTTAATTTTAGTTTTTAAAGTTTATTCATTTATTTTGAGAGAGAAGGAGCAAGCTGGGGAGGGGCAGAGAGGGAAGAAGAAACAGGATCCCAAGCAGGCTCCACACCATCAGTACAGAGCCCAGTACAGGGCTCAAACTCCCGAACCTTGAGATCATGACCTGAGCTGAAATCAAGAGTCAGTCACTTAACTGACTCAGCCATCCAGGTGCCCCTAACTTATTTACTGATGCACATTCAGATTTGGAAATCTCTCTGTGGGACATGCCACCCAGGTCAGGGTAATAGGGATCCTTTTTTTTTTTTTTTAAGTTTATTTATTTTTCAACGTTTTTTATTTATTTTTGTGACAGAGAGAGACAGAGCATGAACGGGGGAGGGGCAGAGAGAGAGGGAGACACAGAATCAGAAACAGGCTCCAGGCTCTGAGCCATCAGCCCAGAGCCTGATGCGGGGCTCGAACTCACGGACCGCGAGATCGTGACCTGGCTGAAGTCGGACGCTTAACCGACTGCGCCACCCAGGCACCCCTAAGTTTATTTATTTTGAGAGAGAGAGTGAGTGGGGGAGGGGCAGACAGAGACTCTCAAGCAGACTCCACGCTCAGCACAGAGCCCAACATGGGGCTTGATCCCGTGACAGATCGCAATATCCAGAGTCAGATGTTTAACTGACTGAGCCACCCAGGCGCCCCAGGGCAATGGGGGTCCTAAAGAAAGCAAAGCCACATTTGCATGAAATAAGCCATGATCTATACCTGACATGCCAAGACCATGGTCAGGCCTTGAGTCCAAGGCTGAGGGGTCCTTTGGAACCAGCCTTCAATCCTCTGGCCAGTTTATTGGTGACAACCTGTCCAGCAGCCTGGGTGCCGATTTGGATACATAGACCCATGAGCAGAGTTCATCCTGAGTGACTGTGCGTGTACTGGTGAAAAACTGCTCTCTCCACTAGGAAGTCCTGTCTCGCCAGGGGCTGCTCACCCTGGCCTGTTATTCTCTAGTGAGTGATGGTCTCTGTACTTCCCTCCTGTGACCTGTAAGACCTAGGGAAAACCCTAGGAAGACGACACAGAGTGTCTGGGATGGGGAGATGGGATGAGGTTCTTGATACTGACCTCTAAGATCTGGTGTCAGAAGCTAATCATTAAAGTCTTTAACTTTTTTTTTTTAACATTTACATGTCAAGTTTTAAACACTGTGTTAAATTTCTTTACAGATTTTTAATGTTTATGTATTAACATTACATTGAGAGAGAGAGACAGAGTGCAAGTGGGAGAGGGTCAGAGAGAGAGAGGGAGACACAGATCTGAAGCTGAACTGTCAGCACAGAGCCTGATGCAGGGCTCGAACCCATGAACCAGGAGATCATAACCTGAGCCAAAGTCAGACACTCAACTGACTGAGCCACCCAGGCGCCCCTTGGTCTTTAACTTTTATGCTCCCCTCCACTATGTCTGACACACTCTCAGTGGCTCCTCAAATCATGTTAGTTGTAGTATGATATTATTGCCTCTCTTAAGTGCTATAAAATGTTATCTCCACACCAATGTGCCCATTTATGGTTTCAGATCTTGTTTTGAGATAGTTATCCTTTATAAGGCATTTTCAGGAGGATTGTCTCATTTTCTTTGTTGAGTTGAGAAAACAGGGTGCTGGGATTTGTCCTTTTTTTAAAAACTAATTTATTTGAGAGAGAAAGAGACAGACAGACATTGGGGGAGGGGCAGAGAGAGAGGAGAAAGAGTATACTCAGCAGGCTTCATGCTGTCAGCACAGAGCCCAACACAGGGCTCGAACTCACAAACCATGAGATCATGACCTGAGCTGAAATCAAAAGTCAGATGCTTAACCAGCTGAGCCACCCAGGCACCCCTGAGTTTTGTCTTTGAGAAACAAAGGATGTGAAACTCAAAAGACTGAAGCAGGATCCCAGGTTTCACCTCGACTGCTCTGATTCAAGTCCTATATCCCGTTCATGCCACTCTCTTCTCCATCTGCCCAGACAATCTGGAGGACATAAGCTAGTTAGTATGATGTGCCTATCAAAAGATGGAGGTGGGGGTGGGGAATGGGAAAGTAGTGGTTCTATTATAAACTAGTATGTGCCCTTGGGCAAATCCTTCCTCCTTCCAAGCCCCCATTTCTTCATCTATAAAATAAAAGGTGTAGATAAGATGATCTTTAAGGGCCTTTCCCACAGCATAAGCAAAGCAGTGAGAAAGCACTTGTAGTGAATTTGATGTGACCAGGTACACGAATGCTGTGGGTGAATTGTGTGCCCCTATCCCCATCACCCTGTTCATGTGTTGAAGTCCTAACTCCCTAGTACCTCAGAATGTGATCTTATTTGGTGGTTAGGTCTTTACGGAGGAAATCAAGTCTAAAAAAAATGAGGCCATCAGGATGGGCACTAATTCAGTATGGGTGGCGTCCTTATAAAAAGGGGAAATTTGGACGCAGAGACACTGAAGTAGAGGGAAGACAATGTGATGACACATGGAGAGAAGATGGTCACCTACAAGCCAAGGAAAGAAGATGGAGCACACCCGCCCCCACCGCCCTCGGGGGGAACCAGCCCTGTCCACGCCTGGATCTCGGACTCCCAGCCTCCAGAACCGGAGACAATGCACTTCTGTGGTTAAAGCCACCTGGTTGGTCTTACTTCATTACAGCTTCCCTGTAAACTGATCCAACCAGTATTTTGAATAAGAGGGAATTCAGATTTGACTGTTACTGTCCTGACTCTTCTGGCGACCATTCCATTAAAGCAAGGCATGTCCCGAGGCTCCAGAGAAGAACCAGTTCTTTCAAACAAATGAGAAACTTGAACTTTTTTCTTAGCCTCTCACATTTCCTGGTCACGGTGAATATGTTAGTTTCGGGAAAAAATGGGTGAAAGACTTCAAGAATGGTTTGCAAATCTTGAAGATGGGTGCTGGTATCTTAATAAAATTGACACATTACAGAGAAAAGAAAACAAACAGGAGCAAACACAGGCCACAACTTAGAAAATTAAGGGTGGGAAAGGCTTCTTCAATTACAATGTCAACGCATGAGAAATGTGAGGAGAGCCTGAATGATTTGAACACAAAAAAATAATGTCCGTGTGATAGAAAATGAAAGTAAAAGATTAAGTTAGGAAGATTGATGATGAATTGGGAAAATATTTGTATTTTATACAAATACAGAAAGAGAAGGCTTTATTTTTTTTAATGTTTATTTATTTTGAGAGAGAGAATGTGTGAAGGGCAGAGAGAGAGGGAGAGAGAGTGAATCCCAAGCAGGCTGGGCACTGTCAGCACAGAGCCCCACGTGGGGCTTGATCCCATGAACTGTGAGATTATGACCTGAGCCGAAATCAAGAGTCGGACACTTAACCAACTGAGCCACCCAGGTGTCTCCACCCCAAAATAGAAAGCTTTATGTTGTCAACACTAATAAGTGAAGCCACATTGAAAGGCAGGCCTCTGCTGCTTCTGGCCCAGGTGGAAACATAGGGTCCAGATTTGCCCTTCCAGCTTAAATACATTTTTAGAAGGTGGAAATATATGATATATGAAATGACAGGTTTTAGCCATCTGGAGAGAGGGGTGAGCCTTGAGAGTGTCCAGTTCGCCACCCAGAGAGTGTCCAGGCCAAGGTACAGGGGAGGGTGGGTGGGGGAGCCCAGTGGGTCTCTGAGTTGCAGGGACAGAGTTGCGTGTTGGGGTGCCCATGGCAGCCAGGGTTCACAGGCAGAGAACCAGAGTGGGGAGAGGCAGGAGGGCATCCCAGTCTTCGGCTGAAGACTGAGCCAGTCAGTACGTGTAGGGGAGGCAAGAGCTGGAGGCTGGGCCAGGTGGATGGGCACTCTGCCTATCTTCTCCAAGAAGCTCAGCGAAGCTTCCATCCTTTACCTGGTGAAAGTGGAAAAGAACATGGAAGAAATGTGCCTGGAGGTTCTCCTGGCTCAGGCCCAGGTGAGGTGTGGTCACCTCACTCAAATTCCAGCATTCAGTTCGTGAGAATTCAGGCACAGGCCACATTTAATAGCAACAAGAACTGGGAAAGACTGTCCCTGGCTAAGTAGTCACTGCCAAGAGAAGCTTTGGGAGAAGCACGAATTTTGTGCGGGATTAGTTTGATGCAACAGCTCAGCTAGGGAAATCAGGAATGGGTTATGTTACCACTCATTTGCATGCATCAGTACCTATTACTACCATTTAAAAGAGCAACGCCTTGAGAAAACTTGAAATATAAATACTTCCTCTATCGATTGCATATGTATCTAAATATCTTTAGAAGCTAAATAATTAACTTGCCAGCATTACAACCCAGGAAGGTTTTTCTTAAGGACCTGGGAGCCATCTCTTTGAAATGTAAACCTCTAGGAAGATATTGTCCCTCTCTGTCACCACAGGGGGCAGGGAGGTCGTTAAGCATGGGCTCTAGGCACCTTGCTTTGAGCTGTAACTACCTTGCTGTTGGAGAAATGTGAATAGTTTGCTTTATCCTTTGAACAGAGACAACTAGCACGGATGGGCACCCAGATCACCAGGTGAATTTATGATGAACTATGAAAGCATTAAGAAACAACTGGCCAAGAACATGGTTATATAATTTCACCAAAAAAAAAAAATAATAATAATAATGATAAATCATCGTCCTTATCCCATTTTTGAAAAATGACGTTTTAACCTAACATAAACTTAATTCTCTTTGACAGGTAAGATCTCAGGTATCTGTCTTCCTCTTCTTCTTTTTTTTTTTTTTTTTCGGTTTGTGTGTATTTCCTGTTTTACAGTCTTTACGCATTAGTTGTGCAATCTGGACAAGCTACAGCTTCTATTTCCTTCTCCCTCTTGGAAAAACCATGTGCCCACAGATACTATTACTTTATGTCATGGCTGGGTATTAATTGTATCCCAGCGTTTCAGTGAAACTTCTAATATTTCAGTGACGTGCACATGGTACACCCTTTCCTTGTCCCCTCCTGTTCGTGGGGAATCTCAGTGCCAACACGAAAGATCTCAGGGCAAGCAAAGGACCAGGGATCCAGGACGTAAACACAGCCCGCTACTCTAGGCTACACCTTCCCTTAATCCCTAACAGAAGCGAAGACAAATGGAAAATTGGGTCCCAGGTCCAGGCGGTCAATCCCTCCCACACAGCGCCCTCTTAAGCACCAGATAGGGTGGAGACATTCGAGACGTCCCCTAACATGTGGGCGCTTAGACTTATGGGAAACAGAGTCCGGGTATTGGTCCCGCTCCCGAGGCGGACTCCCCTTAGGAGCACCGCCGGCGTCGTCCTGCGCATGTGCGACTCGCCTTGTGTGCGTGTTCGCGCACGCGCAGTTCCGCCGCGCCGCTCTCGCTTCCTGTCCGTGCCCAGGTCACCGCTGGCCGTGCTTCCCAGGCTTCGGCCTCAGGCGGGCAAGGACCCCAGGGCCTGCGGGGCTGCGCGCCGTCCGTCCGGGCCGGCACCCAGCGGGCGCAGAGCTGTGCGGGCCGGGCGGAGTCTCGAGCGGAGACCCCCAAGCGCGAGCCCCGGAGCCCGCAGGCTGGGCCGGAGGGGCCGGGCGGCGGCGGCGGCGGCGGCGGCGCAGAGCTTTGGGATCGGGCCCGGCCCGTTTGCACCCGCGGCGGCCCGGCCGAGGTTCGCGGGACGGCGAGGCCCCAGGCGGCCGATTTGGGCCCCGAGAGGGTTTTCGGCCCGAAGTGAACTTGTCCCGGAGGCCCAGATCCGGCTCCTCGGGAACGGCGGCCCCGGGAGGCGCCGCGCCAGCTCCGGAGCCCTCGGAAGCCTCGGGGCAGCTCGGCAGGTCCCGACGAGGTAGGTCGTGGGCTTTCGGGTCTCCAGGCGGTTGTGCATCTTGTGGGCCGCGCCTCAAACCGAGGGCGCGAGCGGCGGCCAGGGAGGGATGGGCTCTCCCCGGGACTCGTGGGGCCCAGGTTTCCTGGGAGCGCAGGGGGTCCCCGCGTGGGCTGCGGACGTTCTGTGTCCGCTCCGTTCTCCAGTCCCGATACGCGTGCCGCCCTCTCCGGCTTCCAAGAGGGTCTCTAAGCGCCCCTGAGCACCTGTGCTGTGTGCTGTAAGTGTGTGCCGACCGCGCCGGGCTCTGCCCTGTGGCATCCGCCAGTGTAGTGCAGGACAAGCCTGAGAGGGTTTGCTGCTGCTGCCGCCGCGGCCGCTGGGGTGACAGAGGAGGAGGTTGGGCCTGAGAAGGGAGGTGGCTCTTGGAGGGTGACCGAGTCTATGGGTGGGATTGTGGATGCGACTCAACTCCTGCGCCAATGTGCTTCCACTCTGTTAAAGTTTTCTTCTTACGTGCAATGATAACCTAGTTAAGTTAGATAATATAAAAACAAAATCGTGCCTTGATGATGCCCATCTGTCCCGTTTTGGAGAGCTAATATTCTCTGTCCCTCTGGATACTTTGATTTTAAACAGTTTGAAGACACAGTAAGAAAATCTGTAAACGGTGTAAGGGGAGATTTTTTTTTTTTTGGCAACATTAATTTAATGAAGGCAAACTATTTAAAAAAAGGAGTGAATATTTATATTAACCAACGAGGGTAACCCATGTAAACATCTCCTGTGGGGCGCCTGGGTGGCTCCATTGGTTAAGGGTCCAACTTCAACTCAGATCTTGATCTCATGGTCAGTGAATCCGAGCCCTGCATCAGCGTCTGTGCTGACAGCTCGGAGCCTGGAGCCTGCTTTGGATTCTGTGTTTCCCTTTCTCTCTGCCCCTCCCCTGCTCACGCTCTGTCTCTCAAAAATAAACAAACATTAAAAAACTTAAAACCAAACATCTCCTGATATGTGGGAGTAACAGCTATGCTTTGTGTTCCACCTTTGTCACATCTTTAGATCCTTGTAAGTGTTCACAGGGTGTCATTTTATGAGCTTTTCTTTGGCGGTTACTACGCAGGATGCTCCTGCCTGGGCAGGCCAGATTACCCATGACTTCTGTTATTTCTTTCTCCTTCCCTAGGTCCACCGTTAACGGTCTGTACGCATTTCCAAGAGCAGTAGAAAATGAATGAGTCCCAGGTGAGCTTTCCTTTGTCTGTATATGTTCTCTTACTTGTTTTTTAATGCATTTTAGGAGGTTTATATGGTTCCAGATTTTACAGTGGGAACGTAGAAATAAATAAAGGACATCATCGTGTAAAATAAAATTGTTAGGATTTGGGTCGGCACCCAGAGTCCTTGTTGAGTTTATGTGTGTAGATAGTGGGCTACTTCAGGGCTGTGGGGGTAGAGCTACAAATATTTAAAAAAAAAAATTTTTTTTTAATGTTTACTTTTGAGAGAGAGAGACAGAGCTTGAGCAGTGGAAGGGCAGAGAAGGAGATAGAGAATCCAAAGTAGGCCCCAGGCTCCATGTTGTCAGCACAGAGCCCGACATGGCACTCGAACCCACGAATGGCGAGATCGGGGAGATGATGACCTGAGCAGAAGAGGCTTAACTGACTGGACTGCCCACGTGCCCCTATAGCTACAAATGTAACTGATGTTCCTGACAGTTACAGAAAAGGAAGAGTACCGCCCATTACGTGATTTGCATTGACTGTAAGAAGAACCCAGTCTGTTACTTGTGGGTTTTAAAGATTTCCCAAGACTTGAAAAAAATTTTCTTGTTAAAATTGAAATAACCAGGGATAGCTTTCCCGGTAACAACCTTTAATGTCATTGCAACACGTGGCTTATACTTGTAGCTTATCTGAGCTGAGGGCCTGCCCAGGGAGAAATGACACGCACCAAAATGCTGTGATCCAGCCAGACATATTTTCCCTGCTACTGTTTAATCCAGGGGTAAAAGCGAAGTCCTGAGGAAACGGCCTGTTCATCCTTCAGATGCTTCTGTTACTGTTTATTCAGGTTGTGCCGTAAATGGTACGGGAAGGTATTCTCTAGTAAATGTGTCCTCACGCCTGTTTCCGTTAATCCTCAGCATTTGGGTTTTGTCCTCACCACTCTCCTGAATGTGGTGGTAAAGATTAGCATTGACCTCATTACAGTCAAGTCCGTTGGGCGTTTTCCAGCCCTTACCGCACATCACCATGTGTTTGCTGTTGACCTGTTACTTACAAATGGATACTGTCTCCTGGGGTCTCTTGGTTCTTGGCCTCTAAAACAAGTCACCTGAAGTATTTCTGTAAATACCTTGAGCTGATGAGGAGTCTTTGAAAGAGGGGGTGGGGATAGCCCACATTATCTCTCTTTTTTAATATATAATATCCGGTGTTCAGAGGTTCACAGTTTTCCGAATGTTTTGGGTTTGTTCTTTTCAATCAGGATACGCGTAAGAGTCTACATGTTGTGGCTGGCCGATAAGTCTTTTAAATTTTTTTTTTAAATGTTTATTTATTTTTGACAGGGAGAGAGACACTAGTGTGAGCGGGGAGGGGCAGAGAGAGGGAGACGCAGAATCCTCTGTGTGAATGCCTCAGAATCCTCTGAGCTGTCAGCACAGAGCCCAACATGGGGCTCAGACTCATGAACCGTGAGATCATGGCCTGAGCCACCAGGTGCCCCTAAATTTTTTTTTAATGTTTATCCATTTATTTTTGAGAGAGGGAGAAAGAGAAAGATCTCGAGTGGGAAAGGGTCAGAGAGAGGGGTGGGGGGAGAGAGAGAATCCCAAGCAGGCTCCATGCTGTCATGGTAGAGCCCCACGTGGGACTCTATTTCACAAGATCCCACGATCGAGATGGTGACCTGAGCCAAGACCAGGAGTCAGACGTTCAACTGACAGAGCCACCCAGGCGCCCTGTCTTTTAAATCTTTTAATAGTAGCTCCCCCTGTGTGTCTCTTGTGTTACTTTGTAATTTATGTTTTGAAGAAATTGGGTTTATCCTTAGTTTCCCATGGTCTGTATCACATTGCTGTCATTTTAACTTTCACACTTTTTTTTTTTTTAATTCCCAGTAAGTCTTGTAAAATTGGTAGTTAACTTGGGAAGTTTACCCATTTACGTTCAGTTCTTTTGGCAAGACTTTGTTCCTCATGACCCTTGTCTACTTTGTCCTGGAGGCCGTGTTCTAATCCTGTCTTTTTTGTGTGTGATGTTAACCTCCATTGGCTGGTGTTCATTGCCAGTTCTTCAGGAGAGACAAGGTGATACATGCTGCTTTACCATTTCTTCTTCATTTGCTAGCTAGAATACTTTTCTAAAGGAAAGCATCTCTCAAATCGTTCTGTGGTTCACACAGAAAAGATAATTTCCACAATATTGAGTAGGCTCCTGTGCAACAGGAATTTTGTTTGCGTGTTTCGTTTTGTTACCATTAGCTCACGGGTTTAGACGCGTTTTAAGTTTTTCAGTACACTGAAGTTGTCACTCTATTTGGTGTCTAGGTGGATCTGTCTTTGACCAGAGGAATCTCTTCAGATTGGTTTCTGAGTCTTTTGAAACATCCCCTATATATTCGATGGCTTTCGTTTTTATTCAGCATTTTATTTTGAAAAAACTTCAAACTGCACAACAGTTGCAAGGATCGTACAAAGAACTCCCGTGTTCCTTTTGCCCAGATACTCCAGATTTTGACATGTTCCCACATTTGCTTTCTTATCTCTGTGTATATATGTATTTTTTTCTGAACCATTTGAGAGTGGATGTCATCTGTCATGTCCCTTTTCAGATTGTACCTCCTGAGATCAAAGATACTGAATTCAGGAAATGTAACTTTGATATAACGTTTTTATCGAATCTATAGTTCACCTTCTGATTTAACAAGTTTTCCCAGTAATTTCCTTTATAGCAATTTTTTATTTCCAGTTAAGCGTCTGCTCTTGATTTTGGCTCAGGTCGTGATCTTGCAGTTTCTGAATTTGAGCCCCCTGTCTGGCTCTGTGATGACAGTGTGGAACCTGCTTGGGATTCTCTCCCTTTCTCTGTGTCCCTCCACTGCTCATGCACACATACTCCCTCTCTCAAAATAAATAAATAAACATTTTTTTAATAAGTGCATTTCCTGTAGACAGCACATAGTGGGGTTTTGTTTTTTTTTTTTTTTTAATCCAGTCTGACAGTTTCTATTAATTGGGCTGCTTCGGCCATTTACACCTAATACAATTATTGGCATAGCTGGTTAGGTTGTAGTCCATTGTCTTTGATTTCTAGTTGTCCCATCAGCTTTGTCTCCTCTTTCTTCCTTGTTTTCCTTCCTTTGGACTAATTGCATTTTTTTTAATTTTTTTTTTTTTTTTTTATAATTGCATTTTTTTTTTTTTTAATTTTTTTTTAACGTTTATTTATTTTTTTTGGGACAGAGAGAGACAGAGCATGAACGGGCGAGGGGCAGAGAGAGAGGGAGACACAGAATCGGAAACAGGCTCCAGGCTCCGAGCCATCAGCCCAGAGCCCGACGCGGGGCTCGAACTCCCGGACCGCGAGATCGTGACCTGGCTGAAGTCGGACGCTCAACCGACTGCGCCACCCAGGCGCCCCATATAATTGCATTTTTTTAATGATTCCATTTCACATCCTTTGTGGGGTTGTTAGCTATAGCACGGTTTTTATTTCAGTGGGTGCTTTAGGGTTTGTAGTATGCAGCTTTAATTCATCACAGTTTCTCTTGAAGTGATGTTCTCTTTTGCTTAGCATGCAGGAAGGTTATGGTCCCTTCCATTTGTCCCTCCTGGGTCCTTAAACTGTTGTTGCATTTTGCTTTTACAGGCAGGATCAACCCCGCAGTACATTGTGATTGTTATGTAAACAGTTATCTTTTATTTTTTTTTTTAATTTTTTTTTTTCAATGTTTATTTATTTTTGGAACAGAGAGAGACAGAGTATGAATGGGGGAGGGGCAGAGAGAGAGGGAGACACAGAATCGGAAACAGGCTCCAGGCTCTGAGCCATCAGCCCAGAGCCCGACGCGGGGCTCGAACTCACGGACCGCGAGATCATGACCTGGCTGAAGTCGGACGCTTAACCGACTGCGCCACCCAGGCGCCCCAACAGTTATCTTTTAAAGAATAAGGGAGAATAGCATAGTTACTATTTTTTCTGAAAAAATCCAGACTCTTATTTTCTGTCATTTTCCCTCTGCCTGAAGGACTTCCGTCACCTCTTCTTCTAGTTGATGATGAATTCCTTCAGGCCTTGTATGTCTGAAAACGCCTTTATTTTTGCGTTGGCTTTTATGTCCAGGGAGCTATGCTGGTTTTTCTCCTGTGCTTCAAACCTGTTCCTCTGCTGTCTTCTCCCTTACATTGTTTCCAAGAGAGATATGATGTCCTCCTCACCTTCCTTCTCTGTATATAACCTGGTTTTTACTTATTTTTCTTCCTCTTGCTGCGTTTAAGTTTTTAAGTTTTTATTTACTTATTTTCAGAGAAGGGGGTGGAAGGGGCAGAGAGAGAGGAAGAAACAGGATCCCAAGCAGGTTCTGCACTGTCAGCACAGAGCCCGAGGCGGGGCTCGAACTCACGAACTGGGAGATCATGACCTGAGCTGAGATCGAGTCAGACGCTTAACTGACTGAGTCACCCAGGCACCCCTAAACGTTTCTCTTTGTTTCTGGTTTTGAGCAGTTTGATTGTGAGAGGTCTTGGTATTGTTTTCTTCATGTCTCTGTGCTTGGGGATCTCCTTGAACTTCTTGGATCTGTGTGTTTATGATTTTCGGCAACTGTGAGAAATTTTTGATCGTATTTCTTCAGCTGTGCCCCCCGTCTCCCCATCCATCCGCCCTGCATGGATTCCTCTTACCTGTATGTTCCACCACTTGAAGTCGTCCCACAGCTCACTGACACCCTTCATTCTCTTCAAACTCTGTTCTCTCTGGGTGCTTCATCTTATATAACCTTCTGTTGCTGTGCTTTGAGTTGACTGATCCTTTTTTCCGGCAGCGTGTTCATCTAGTCTGCTGTACTTTTCATCTCAGACACTGTAGCTTTTATGTGCAGAAGTTCAGTCTGAGTCTTTGTTTATATCCTCCCTGTTTCTACTCAGATATTTTGAACATAAGGAATCCCGTTATAAACTGTTTCCTTGTGCTCTGGCGCTTATGACATCTGTGTCTGCTCTGGGCCCACTTTGGTCG